CGGCCTCGGGGCCGGCGCTGCGCGTGGACGGCTGGCGCGCGCTGCACGAGCTGAACCCCCGCGCGTCCGACGAGGCGGCGCTCGGCTGGGTGTTCGTGGTGGACACGCTCAACTTCTCCTTCTGGGCCGAGCAGGAGGAGCGCAGGTGCCTGGTGAGCTACGGGGGCAAAGCCTACAGCGGGTACTGGGCACTGTGCGCCGCGGTGAACCGCGCCCTGGATGAAGGTGGGTGCCGCCGGGGCCCCGCGGACGGGCGGGTAGGGCGGACGGATGCCCCTTTAATGAGGATCGGAGGGACTGACCGGGAACCCTGGGCGCAGTCAGTGTCGGTGATGGAGTACGGCAGGAGTTAGAAGTGGGTCCGTCCAGGCGAGCGAGGAGGACGTGAAGTCTTGCTTCGGATCCTTATTCATCCACCCGCACGCATTTCTGCAGCGTTCCTTTGGTTTCATAGGAATTGCACGTGATGAGCGTAGGAGTCTAATGAAGTGTAATGAATGACATTGTACCCCCGACTTTTCTTTTCTCTCCAAGGGATACCAATAACGAGTGCTTCCTACTATGCCACCGTGACCCTGGACCAGGTTCGGCACATATTTCGTTCTGACACCGACGTCCCCATGCCTTTAATGGAAGACAGGCATCGTGTTCTCAATGAGGCAGGGAGAATTCTGTTGGAGAAGTTTGGAGGCTCTTTCCTTAACTGCGTCCGAAAGAGTGAAAAAAGCGCGCAGAAGTTACTGCACCTGATTGTTGAAAGTTTTCCTTCTTACAGAGATGTGACTGAGTTTGAGGTGAGTGGCTTGTGTTGGAGATTTTAGAAGTCTTAATAATTCTTTCAGAGTTAATTCTTTTACTTCCTATCTTAATTGCGTTCTTGTTGCTGAGACAAAGTAATTGACGTCCACAAATTAAAGGAGGAAAGGTTTATTTAAGATCACAGCTTGTAGCGGTTGCAGTCCATAGTCCACTGGCTCCAAGCCAAGGCAGTCAGGTGGAGGAGCGTGCAGAAGAGAGACCGTCCAGGGCAGGGCAGGGCAGGGCAGGGCAGGGCAGGAGGTAGGAGGGTCGTTTATCCAGGACACACCCACGGGGACCGCCTTCTTCCGCCAGGCTTCACCTCCCAACATCACATCCAACTATGAACCCATCCGTGGACTAATCCAGTTACCATACACCTATGACCCAGTCATCTCCTAAAAGCCCAACTGTGAGCGCATTGAATATAAGCCATAGCACTTTCTGAACACCATTTGAGAGAAAAACTTATATTTGAAATTTGTTCACCGTGGACAAGAAACAGTAACGAAATTGTTTCAAAATTTCTTTTATGTATGTTTACTAGTCAGCCTATTTCTTTTGTTCTTTTGTCTTTTTATTTTTTTGAGGTACTAGAGATTGAACCCAGGGCCTTTTGCATTGAGCTACATACATCTCTAGCCATTTTGATTTTTTTATTTTTGAGACTGTAAGTCACTTAAGTTGCCCACGTTAGGGTTGAATTTGCAATCCTTTTGTCCCAGCCTCCCAGAGTGCTGAGATTACATGTATGTGCCACCTTGCCCTCTACTTTTTTACATACATATATAATTTCTTTTTTTTTTTTTTTTTTGAGGCAGGCTACTACACGACATAGTGCAGGCTGGCTTTGAATTTACAGCAGTGCTCCTGCCTCAACCTCTTGAGTACTGGGCTAACAGGCATGTGACACCACACTTGGCTTCTTGTCCTTTTAAAATGTTTCATATTGCAGCAGCAAGCAGAAACACCAAAACAACATCCAGAATTTGAGGCAGATTTATTTATGTTGACAGGCACTGATTGGGATCATTGCAAGAATATAAGGCCCTGATCTCTGTTGGTCTAGGGCTTATGTGAGATAAGTATGCAGGAAGTACAGAGGCAGAACGGCCTGTCAATTGGGGATTGGTTTATACAATGTGCATCATAGTGACCAGCTATGCATCACAGTGACCAGCCGTTTCTAAGAGATGGGAGCAACTGGAATTGAAACAGGAACTACCACCTGGGCAACTAACAGACTGAAGTATCCTGGCTTGGAGGGGCATCTTCTACAATACCTGAAAAACAGTGAACCTTCCACATAATGCTGTCTTTGAAGATAAGGTACTTCAAAAAATTCGCATCATTGGATGAAAACCAGAACGTATCTGAATTTTCTCTAATACAAAATGTGATAAAGTTCAGTGTATATACACTGTGTTTTCCCTGTACAGCATACTTTGAAAATACTATTTGTTTTATGGTACAAAAATTTTGTTTATTTATTTTTTGTCTTTTTGAGACAGGGTCTCACTATGCAGTTCAGGCTGGCCTTGAGCTCCCTTTGTAGCCCAGGCTGGTCTCGAACTTGCAATGATCCTCCTGCCTCAGCCTCCCGAGTGCTGGGATTACAGGCATGCACCACCACGCCCAGCCTTTGATGCAGTTTTAAAATGAACAGTTTGATTTACCTTCCCAGTGTGCATCTTGATTTTGTTTTTGGTTGTTTTTTTTGTACCAGAAATCATGAACTTATGCTTGCCAGGCAGGTGCTTATGCCACTGAGCTATATCCCCAGCCATTGATTTTTTTTTTTGTAAAATTCTTTTGAAATCCTGGTTACTTTAGCTGTGACTCAGAAGTATAAGCAACTTCAGAAAGTCATAATATAAATCTATTGTATGTTTTTTTCTGTATAAGTTAATACTTACATCAAGTTAAAAATTTAAAGCTATTCCTTTTATAACCACAATTCAACAACTAAAATTATCAATATATTGTTTAAGTCACACTCTCTGATTCGATGGTGTTCGTGCATACACTATAACTTGATTCACACACCAGCTTAAAGATGGGAAGAAGCATTATTGTCCCATGTTTGTAGTCTAGAACCAATTCTGATAAGTTAAATGGTTGATTTTAGCTAGCTTTTGATTCTACCGTAATGTGAAAGATTTCTAATTATGTGTGTTAGTGTACTTTTGTTTGTTTTTGTGGGGTGTTCAACCCAGGGGCTCTCACATGCTAAGCAAGCATACTACCACTGAGGAACATACCCAGACCTTTCTAAAAATTTTACTTCAAGATATAGTCTCCCTTGTTGGCCTACATTCCATTTCTGTCCAGAGTGACAGGTTCCAAGAACGAGGTGCCACAGATGAAAAAAGCAAGAGAAACAAGAGAGGCATAATTCTGGGATCAGGGGATTTGAAGCCTCTCAGACTGAAGCCCCAATTACCATTTTCAGTAACCTTTTACTGAGAAAGAACAAAGGAAGCAGCTGGGCAAATGGGAGGATATCAACAGGTTTAGCAAGGATAATACAACTCAGTTACCACAGAAATAAGACTTAGTTAGCCATCATGTTATCATTCCTTCGGGCATATCTCAGCAAAGCATCTAGTGCTGTCGGCAGGGCTTTCCACAGGGACACAGATTCTGCAATCATTTTCTTCCCACAAGTGCTTTTGCTAGACTTCCTCCGGAACCAAATGATCATATGGCTTGGTCAGGCCTGAGGTCAAACAATACATTGAAAGAGTAAAAGAATGTGCTCCACACTCCCTAAGTTGCCCAGAATGGCCTCAAGCTTTTAATCATTCTGCCTTAGTTTCCCAAGTAGCTGGGAGTACAGGTATGCACCACTGTGCCCTGCTAAGATTTTTTTTTTGTAAATTACAAGAACACAGACACACACCTAGAAAAAGCTGAAGCAAAAGGTTTTTTTTTTTTTTATTTTATGAAGAAATAAAATTTCATAACAAAACACAGTAATAAGAAAATAACAATAGGTAAGACACTATGTGTCATTGCCTTCAAAGTAGTTACAGAAAGTGCTAGACAAAAAAAAAAAAAAAAAAAAAAATTCTCTCACAAAGAATGAACAAACAGATAATAGCACAAAAGTTTCTTTTCTTTCTTTTTTTTTTTGAGACAGGGTCTGGCTATGCAGTTCAGGCTGGCCTTCAGCTCACTTTGTAGCCCAGGCTGGTCTTGAACTTGCAACAATTTTCATGCCTCAGCTTCCAGAGTTCTCAAACTTTCTTTGCAATGAAGCAAAAAAGTTTCAGATGGGCGAGTGGATAGCCTGGACAAGGCACTCTAGTGCTGATGGGCTCAGCCTCTTGCCTTTGCTTCTGTTGCTGTTTTTCCCTCACTGGGGACAGAGTCTCTCCAGGAAGTAGCAAAGGTTACTGATAGTGAATTTTGCATCTTGCTGCTTCAGCTGACTGGAGAGAGAGAGGTAGACAGGCTCAGTGCCAGTAGCAGCCCTGAACCACATGAGTTATGGCAGGTAGGTGTTGCCCTCAGCAGAGGCTGAGAGGTAGCTTCCAGAACAGTCTCCAGGTTACTGTTGATTTTTATTCTGCTCTACTTGCTAACACAAAGGTTACTCTGAGATTTATCGTTGTGTTTAAAGTATGTCATTTCAGACTTGTTTTTCAGGTAATTCGGGATCAAATTTTGTGGTCCATCACTAAGGCCATCTAACTGTAATAAACAGTGTGTGAAACAAAGCAAACTAGCAGTCCCATAGCTCAGGATCCATGGACTCTGATTTTGGTATTTAATGATTTGCACATGATTGTAGCACAGGAAGGACTGAGATTATAGTTAATGTGATGGGGTGAGGGGAGGGAGGAGAGGAGGAAGAGAGGGAGGCTCAATGAATAGTGAGATTAGCAAATACATCTTTTCTCTGGTTTGTTCTGTGCTTCAGGTTTATAAATCCTTCTAAAATAAAGAACTCTTAAAAAATAAAATAAAAGGTAAAAGAATTTCTCAAAAAGTACATAATTTAGTCTCAAGGTGGAATGAATTCAGGATACCAAGTACTGTAGTTTGTTTGCCTTTTTGGGGGAGTTTTTGTTTTTGTGCATGAAAAGAGTGATTTTTTTTTTTTTTGAGAGTTTCTACTTAATTTACCAGGATTTAGATTAATTTTTAAGACTGATCCATAATTGTGTTTGTACACAGCTTATTTTATAAATTGAGTTGTGTGTCTTCCTATTTTCATTTTCACTTGGTTATAAACAGTATTATTGCACAACACTTCAATCTTTGGACATATCTGTTATTATGGATTCCTGTGGTGGATTTGCTGAGTCACAGCATGGTCAAGATTTTCATGCTTCCAATATGGAAAAACGCTAACTGTTCTCCAGAAAGATGATAAAAAAGCTCAACCCTTCATAACATTTTTTTTTTTTTTTGGGGGTTTTTCTCCGGTACCGGGAACCGAATCACGACCTTGCGCTTGCCAGGCAGGCGCTTTTGCCGCTGAGCTAAATCCCCAGCCCCCAACCCTTCATAACATTGATTGTTTATTTTCTTTACCATGTCCTGCGGATTGAACCCAGGGTCTCATACATGGTAAGCAAACGTTCTCAACCACCAGGCTGTATTCCCAGCCCCTTTTACTTTTTATTTGAGACAGTCTTGCTTAATTGCCAAGTTGCCCAGGATGGGTTTGAATTTATAATCTTGCTTCGGCCTTGCAGAGTGCTGGGAGTACAAGCACGCAGATTTTGATGAATAGGTAAAAGAAGTATTTTTTTTTTTTGGTACTGGAAATTGAACTCAGGACTTTATGCTTGCCGGCAGGTGCTTGTGCTGCTGAGCTATGTCCCTGGCAGAAGAACTATGTTTTTGCTCTTCAAGTAACTGATTCAGAGTATATAGTAACTATGTAAAAATCTTAAGTAATGAACTTGCTTGGGTAATACATCATCTTTTAAACATAATTGAAAAACATGAGCTTTTTGATACTTTTTGTTTGTTTTTTGTTTTTGAAATAGGGTCTCACTATGTAGTTTAGCTGACCTTTAACTTGCTTATGTAGCCCAGGCTAGCCTGGAACTTGTGGCTATCCTGCCTCAGCCCCCCGAGTGCTGGGGTTACAGGTATGCACCACTACACCCAGCCTGGTTGAGCTTTTTGTATTTCTACAGGTAATATTTTATGTTACTGTCAAGCATTTGTAATCCTTAACCTTAAATTTATTGAAGACTTTTTCAAGAAAACTAGTTCATGGGAAGAGATGTGAAAAGACTAAAGGTACAAGAAAGAACTTTGAAAATTTTTTACCATAAAGTATAAATGTTTGGGAAGATAAATTTGTTTAAAAATTAGCCAGTGTAAGCTGGGCATGGTGGCACACGCCTGTAATCCCAGCATTCGGGAGGGTGAGGCAGGAGGATTGTTGCAAGCATAGCGAGACCCTGTCTCAAAAAAGACCCGCCTCCCAAAAAAATTAGGCAGTGTATACATGTTTTTTTTTTTTGTCTTTTTGAGACAGGATCTCGCTATGCAGTTCAGGCTGGCCTTGAGCTCACTTTGTAGACCAGGCTGGTCTTGAACTTGCAGTGATATTCCTGCCTCACCCTCCTGAGTGCTGGGATTACAGGCGTGTACCACCAGGCCTGGCATGTATACATGTACCAGCCCACTAATTTGTCCAATTTTTATGTTTTTGGTATATCACTTACATATTTAAAAAAATAGAGCCTGCCATGATGGCACAATCTAGTGATACCAGCACTCAGGAGGCTGAGGCAGGAGCGTTACTATGAGTTTGAGGCCAGCCTGGGCTACACAGTGAACTCAAGGCCAACCTGAACTACATATTGAGAATCCTGTCTCAGAGAGCAAAACACAAACACCAGTAAGGAAGAATTTAAAAAAAAATTTTGAAAAGTAAATTAGCTGGGCATGGTGGCACATACCTGTAATCCCACTATGCTGGGAGGCTGAGGCAGGAGGATTGCAAGTTCAAGATCAGCTTGGACAATTTAGAGACTTTGTGAGACCTTGTCCTGAAAAACGTAAAAAATAAAAAGGTCTGGGGATGTAGCGAAGAGTAAAGGCCCTGGTTCAATCCCCAGTACCAGAGGGAAAAGTAAATTAAATCACAGTCATAGAATTTTCTAGGGACAATTTCTTTTTGGTGCCAGGAATCGAACTCAGGACTTTGCACTTGCCAGGCAGGTGCTTGTGCCACTGACCTATATCCCTGGCCTGACAATTATTTTATGAAGATATTATTTTGAAAATATTTTCTTCACAAAGCAATATTAGAAAATATATAGGGAATTATTTGGGGACTTACTGGTATTTTCAGTGATGCTGGTTAATATTTTAGAGACCCAGAATTTTTTTCTCATTTTTATTGTTTGTGGTGCTGGGAATGGAACCCAGGTGTACCACTGAGTCGTACCCCTGGGACCCTGAATTTGATGACTTCAAACAATTTGATTACCAGAACCATAAGTAGCTTACAAAGAAAATGTTTTTCATTTTTGTTTTTTTTTTAAGAAAATGTTTCATAGTTTGAATTTTTAAATTTTTCACTTGAATCTTAACTTTTTATTCTTTTATCTGAATTATAACTTAGTCTCTGTGATTGTTAGTCTGCTACCATGGCAACAGTGGTTGTGATGCAACAATTCGTATATTTTCTTTGATGCTAGCACTCATTTTGTTATGTAAATTTGGTTCCTAGTGTATTTTGCTCTGAATTTTGTAGTAAGTTTTCTTTTCCTTTTTTTTTTTTTTTTTTCCTGGAGATAGGCTCTTGCTGTGTAGTTCAGGCTGGCCTCAAACTCACCTAGGTAGCCCAGGCTGCCCTAGAACTCACTGCTATCCTGCCTTAGCCTCCTGAGTGCTGGACTTACAGGTGTGTGGCACCACACTGAGCTAAAATTCTGAATGTTGATGGCTTTAAGAAATTTTGGTTTAGGGCTGGGAATATAGCTCAGCACCACAGTGCCTGATTGGCAAGTGCAAGGTCCTGAGTTCGATTCCTGATTCCTGGTACCAAAAAAAAAAAAAGAAGAAGAAGAAATTTTGGTTTAGCAAGAGTAGGTTTGGATCAAGTGCACTAGCTATACCTTTTTTTTGAGGAACTGGAGATTGAACCTAGCAATGTGTATCACTGAGCTGCATCCCTAGCACTTTTTATTTTTATTTGAGACAGGGGTCTCACTGAGTGGCCTTGGTTGGCCTTGAATTCATATGAAATAACACTGTTGAAAAAGTATTGCACAGTAACGGGGTCATGTAATTTATTATGTTTTATGTGATTGAAGAAAACAGGAAGTAAAATAGGAATGATAGAGATTATTACATGTTAACTAGATAGATCCTTTTGTTTACTGTGAAAGGTCTATACTTCCCAACAGAGGAATATTATTCCACCTTTGAAAAAATATTTTCAACTTGTGCCTTTTAAAAAGCGTACAGCAACCTTTCAGACACCCAGGGAACATTTATGTTTTCTCCATTCATCAGGGGAAAAGTGTTTCTTTCTACAAACGAGCGCAGATCCTTGTGGCGGACACCTGGAGTGTGCTGGAGGGCCAGGGGGACGGCTGCTTCGCGGACATCGCCAGCATCACCATGTTTGCCGACTACCGACTGCCGCAGGTCCTTGCCCACCTCGGAGCCCTGAAGTACTCCGATGAGCTGCTGAAGAAGCTTTGCAGAGGTCTGCAGCCTCAACTGAGCCAGTCTCTATTACTCAGTGATTGTTGTGAATGCATTTAGTTTCTTTCACAAAAAACTATGTGCTTAAAAAAAAAAAAGAGCACCATTTATTGACAAAAGTGTAATCAAACCAGGCATGGTGGCACACACCTACATTCCCAGCACTTAGAATGCTGAGGCAGGAGAATCCCCAGCCTGAGGCCAGCCTGGATACATGTGAGTCCCTGTCTCAAAAAAATCAAAAAAGAAAAATGCAAGGGCAAGTAAAATACAGAGCAAATGACTGGGATTTTTTTTCCAGTACTGAGGATTGAACCCAGGGCTTCATGGGCTTTATCAGTGAGCTACACACCAACCCTGTTTTATTTTTTATTTTGAGACAGGATCTTGCTGTATAGTCCAAGCTAGTCATGAACCCACTATGTACGAAGGCTGTCCTGGAGCTCCTCAGCCTCCAGAGTAGCTGGGATTACAGGCGTGCACCACTGTGCCCAGTAGGAAGTGGCTTTTCTTATTACTGTGGGATTTGGACATTGGTAATAGTTGTGCTATTTGAACATCATAGTTTCAGAGCCTAGTAAAATGAATCCTAGGTTCATGCTCCCTGAAAGTTTGTGATCCAGGTGTAACACGGAAGGGTGTTCACAGAGCTAGGGAGAACACTGCTGTAGATGAGAGGGTGGGCGAGGACACTGCTCATGTAGATTTCCTTGAGAGTCGGGGGCTCCCTGGAGGCCACTGGGTTCTCTCACAGGTCACTCCCTTCCCTCCCTTGCTCATCAGTAATGGAAATGATTATTGATTCAAGACAGGGAGCTTCATTCTGTGTATGAATAGGTAAATTAGGTTGAGAAGTTTCTGTGAAAATTACCCTGTTTATTATTTTTTTTAATGTTTTACCTTGTTTTTTTAAAAAAATAACTTCATTTTGTTTGGCTTTTTTGAGACAGGGTCTCACTGTGTAGTTGAGGCTGACCTTAAACTTCTGTGTAGTCTAGGCTAGCCCCAAACTCTTGGCAGTCCTGCCTCAGCCTCCATCCAGAGTGCTGAGATGTTCACTGCCTGGCCAAAAAAACCCATTTCTTTGTATGAGAAAAATGTACTATTTTTATGTTAATTTCTCTTTTGTCCTAGGATTTTATGTGACATTTTTATTTTTAAAAGAAAGTAGTTTTGCTATTGAATAATTTTCTGTGGTGAAATGATTTTTTTTTTTGAGTCAGGGTTTCACACTGAACTCACTATGTATCCCTGGCTGGCCTTTAACTCACCGTCAACCCTCCTGCCTCAGCCTCCAGCATGCTGGGATTACAGGTGTGTGCTACCACACCTGGTAGTGAAATGGATTTATATCTTCCCAAATAATAATATAGAATATAAAGGTATCATTATTCCTGTGGTTGATTTTACCAGGTTTTAAGTTTCCACGGGCAATCCATTTTGTCCTGTTCCCTCATTTGAAAAATAATACGCTGTTTTATTTCACAATGCTCATGTCTTTGGTAGCTAATTCTTGGATACCTTTAAAAGGGACAACAGTTATCATTCATGGTGTATGTAGTTCAGGCTGGCCTCAGATTCATGGCAGTCCTCCTGCCTCAACTTCCTCAGTGCTGGGATTACAGGTGAGTGCCCCCATACCCAGTATGGTGTTATTTTCCATGTAACCATATACTGCTCATTTCTGTCTTGAAGCATTTTTTTTTTAAGGCAAAGTCTCATGGTACAGTCCAGGGTAGACTTGAATACACTAAGTAGCCCAGGCTGGCCTCCAATTCGAGATCCTCCTGCCTCAGCCCCCTCAGTGCAGAGATTACAGGCATGCACTACCATACCCGATTTAAAGTGGTTCTTCATCAGTTTTTAACACTTGAAAATTAGAACAAGTCACATAAAAATCAGAGTGACTGCAATTATAAAAGTAGAGAAATATGGAAACATGCTAAACTTACTTTGGTTTTTTGAGACAGGGCTTGGTGATATAGCTCAGGCTGGCCTCTTATTGTTTATGTATCCCAGGGTGGTCCTAAACACATGATCCTCCTGCCTCAGGCTCCTTAGTGCCACACCACCTAGAAAAAGCTACATCTCAGTTTACTGGTTAATTGAGGAGTACATGCAGGGTGTTAGGCTAGGTCCTCAGAAGATTGAGACAGATTTGGCCCTTGTTCACGTGAAATGCATAGGTAGCTTTGCATTCATGCCTAGGTTGAGGAATGATTTTTTCTTCCATTTTTAACTCTTGCAGGAGAAATGCTGTCATATGGGGATAAGCAAGAGGTGGAAATCAGAGGGTGCTCGCTGTGGTGTGTCGAGCTGATCCGGGATTGTCTTCTGGAGCTTATTGAAAAAAAGAGTGAAAAGCCTAATGGTGAGATCAACTCCATCCTCCTGGATTATTACCTGTGGGACTACGCCCGGGACCACAGGGACGACATGAAAGGGATTCCGTTTCATCGCACACGCTGCATATACTACTGACCCAGCTCAGACTGAGCCAGACTGCTGCGTTGGGAGCAAACCAATGAGATTATAGAACCGTTCATTCTACTTGGCTTTGGTACTAAGAAAAGAGGATAGAAATTATAGGAATAAAAAAATTGATTATACAGTTCCACTTTATAAATTTTTTCTTGAGCCAAGTGCAGTGGTGTACCCAGCTACTTGGGAAGCTGAGGCAGAAGGATCTGTCTCCAGGTTAGCATGGGCAACACAGACCCATCTTCAGTCTCCAAAACAACATTTTTTTTGACATACTAACTTCTTTTATTGGTACTTTTTAGATATACATAGTGATTACATTCATCATAGAGAATTTGTACGTGTATATGATATAACTAGATATTTTCCCCATTCCCCTACCCTTCCTTCCACCCCTTCCTTCCCCATTTACAAAAGCTGTGTTTCCATGTTTGCCTTCTTTTCTCATTTTATACTTTTCGATTCTTGCTCCTCCACCCTCCCTTGTTCCCTTTTCTAAAAACAAATCTTTTTTTACATTTTTTGGAGACAAAGTCTCACTACAATTCAAGCTGGTCTTGAACTCACCATGTAGCCCAGGCTGGCCTTGAACTCTCAGTGATCCTGCCTCAGCCTCCCAAGCGCTGGGATTATAGGTGTGCACCACCATGCCCAGCCCTTGTAAAAATAAATCTTGATACCTTATTTTAAACTTTATTCATAATGATAGTGGATTTCATATATAATGATTTTCATTTAAGGATATATGTTTACCTAGTGTTTATTTTCAGACTCACTACACTGGAATTAAATAAAGATCTTTGAAATTTTTCTTAAACTGAGAGTGGATTATTTCCTTAAAATAGAATTTACCACATATTAATGGTTTACTGTAAATTAGGTTATTTATTCTGTACGTGTGGAACTTTTGGTTCCTACCAGGCACTCATTTTCCATCTCCACCCCTCCCAAGAGGATCTTAATTTTGTGTATATCTGGAGTATGCCCCCTTTCCTTGACATCCATGGAAGACTGGTTTCCCAGTCTCATCCCCCAATAGCCAGATCCATACACACTCAGGTCCTTTATATAAAATGATACAGTATTTGCATGTAACCCATACACTTGTATGTTTTTTAGTACTGCAAATTGAACTCAGGACCTCATGCTTGCCAGGCAAGAGCTGTGCTACTGAGCTAAATCCCTGGCTTTGTTTGTTTTGAGACATGGCCTCAATATGTAGCCTGTGCTGGCCTCGAATTCATGACAGTCCTCTCCCACCCTCCTGAGTGCTGGGATTACAGGTGTGCACCACCCCTCCTGACTGTCTTTGAATTCAACTACATTGTAACCGAGTTTGGCCTTGAACTTGAGATTCTGCTTCAGCCTCCTGAGGGCTACAGTCACAGGCATGTGCCATCAAGCCTAGCCCATAAAGTTTTTCTAAAAATACTGTTTTTGTAGTGTCAGGTATCAATCCCTGGGCCTTATACATGGTAGCACTCCACCATTCTACTACTGAACTCTGTCCCCAGCCCATCCCATACACTTTATTTTTTTGATAGGGTCTCATTATGTAGCTCAGGCTGGTCTTGAACTCAGCATGTAGCCCAGGTTGGTCCCATACTCAGTGATCCTCCTGCCTCAGCCTCCTGAGTGCTGGGATTATAGGTATTATAGGTGTGTGCTACTACTATCCTATACACTTGAGATTGTTTCTAGACTACTTATACCTAATGTAGTGTAAAATGTGTAAATAGTTGTAATATTCTGTTGTTTAGATAATGATGTTTAAAATGTTTGGATCAGGATATTTTTGATTTGTGAGTGACTGAATCCATGGCTGTAGAACCCATAAATAGGGTAGCCTTGACTATCCTTGTCGCTGTTATTTAGAGAAAGGTGCCTTTCCCTAAGCACGTTACTGCCATCTGCTGGAGATTGTCCGTGTCCTCACAGCTGACCTGGTGTGAAAGGGACCTCCTGGCCACTGCAGTGCTCAGCCTGCACAGCGGTAAGGCCTCGTGTCTGTCCCAGATGTGACTCGAGGGAGCACAGTCCGTGCCCAGTTCAGAGGTGTGTCTGATATGAATGACACTGCGTGATAATCCTCCCTCCGCCTGTGATTGCTTTGGTAAATGATAAGTAATCTTCTGGCTGTGAGATGGGAGGGAGGTCTGCTGGGAGGCTTCTGGAAAAGGGTTCTTCATATTTAAGAGAGAAAAGAACGTGTTTCTCCAGTGATGTTCTGTCCGAGTGTGACGTTCAGCAAGTGGAAGGTGTTACAAGTAAAGCCTGAATTCCCTAAAGAAGCAGTTGCCTCACACACATGCTGAGTTTCCTCCCACTGGCCTCCTCTGCCGATAACACTGTCCCACCCTGCAAACCCACAATCCAGGGGCATTCAGATATTTATATAAAATGGCATGGGGGCGCTGGGGATTTAGCTCAGCGGCACAGTGCCTGCCTGGCAAGTGCGAGGTCGTGAGTTCAATTCCCGGTAGTGGAAAAAAACAAAAAACAACAACAAACAAAAAAAATGGCATGAGGCCTGGGATGTAGTTCAGCGGCACAAGCGCCTGCCTGGCAAGCTCCAGGTCCTGAGTTCAATTCCCAGTGCCAAAGAAATGATAATAAAATAAAATGGCATAATATTTGCATATAATCTACCAACATACTCTGGTATACTATAAATTATCTCTAGATTACTTATGATACCTAAACAGTACAAATGCTATGTAAATAGTTGTTATACTGTACTGCTTAGGGAATAATGACAAGGATAAAAGTCAGTACATATTCAGTACAGATGCAGTTATTTATATTCTATATATTTGCTATTTTATGGAAAAAAGTAAACATTTCATAACAATAGAATAACAATAATTAATACATTGTGTATTGTTATTTTTAAAGTAGTTAGAGTACAAGATGTGGGAATAAAAAATTCTCCAAACAGTATTTTGCTGACTATGTATTTTTGGCATTGTCATTCATCTAAGTTTCTCTTTTTTTCTATACCTTTCCTTTAGGATTTTGTCTCTCCCTTTGGGTTAAGGATTTATTTGTTTTTTTGTCTTTTTGAGACAGGGTCTCACTATGCAGTTCAAACTGGCCTTGAGCTCACTTTGTAGCCCAGGCTGGTCTCGAACTCACAGCAATTCTCCTGCCTCGGCCTCTGAGTGCTGGGATTACAGGCATGTGTGACCACACCTGGCAAGAATATTTTTAATTTTTGTTTTTATGTTTTCTTTTTTCTTTTTTCTTTTTTTTTTTTTTTTTTTTTGATTCAGGGTCTCTCCTTGTAGCCCAAGCTGGCCTCTAACTCTTGGTGATCCTCCTGCCTCCGCTCCTTGAGTGCTGGGATTTTTTTTTTTGGTGCTAGGAATCAAACTCAGGACCTCACATTTGTCAGGCAGGCCCTGTGCCACTGAGATAAATCCCTGGCCCCTGAGTACTGGGATTATAGGCATATGCCATCACACATGGTTCAAGGGTGTTTTAGTTTTAAGTGAAAGAAAAAAGACCTTTAAATTATTATTTTCAGTCTGGGGATTTAGCTCAGCGGCACAGCGCCTGCCTGGCAGGCACAAGGTCGTGAGTTCGGTTCTCGGTACCAGAAAAAAAAATTATTATTTTCTTATTCTCTTTAATGATTTGATCAGTCTTCTTACATCTGGTAATTGGAGCAATTTCATTGAAGATAACAATATGTAATATAACAACCACTGTTAATCCCTATCATTTGGCTTACAACCCCATATCATTTTTACTGTCCTTGCCTTGTTTTATTTGTATTTTGCTATTGTTCTTTTTTTTTTAACTACTTTTTTAAAATAAAAAAAAAAAGAAAAAAGACTGAAATTAACTTAGTGAAAATGGAACTAATGATCAACAAAGTAAGCCCAGGAAGAGAGAGCTGACCTCGATTGTGCTTGTGACTAGTTATGGTCCAGGGACTGAGACACAAAGTCCACACTTCTTTTTCTTTTTGCTCTGTTGGCAGAGATGACTGACAACTGGTGATTCTAGGGAACAGAGTAACCCACATGAAATTCCAGGGCTTGGTTGAGGAAAAGGGTTTGGGTCCCAGGTCCCCCACTGTGACCTGGGAAAGAAAGAACCAAGTGATTGGCGAGCCTACAAGTACAGCTGGGGCAGATTTTGAAGAAAAAGGTGGTAACAGAAGACAACCTTGTCTTCTACATCTGCATGTGTTCTTCAGCAGGTGGGGATTGTTTGAAGTTGGGCAGTATTGAAGCAGAGGTAGGGAAAACACAGGCTGCCTCCTGAGTTGTTTTCAGGAAAGAACTAATTCACCCATCTGCCTAGAAATGGAAAACCTAGTGACTGTCCTTTGCATCCTCATTTGCATTTCACCATTCTAAGGCTAGACCAAGGTTGGATGGTATAGATCACTAACCGGTATACTTGGATTTTTTTTTTTTCCCGGTACTGGGAATCGAACTCATGACCTTGCACTTGCCAGGCAGGCGCTGTGCCACTGAGCTAAATCCCCAGCCCCCAGTATACTTGCATTGCAGGTGGCATTCAATTATTAAGGCTCAAAACCTTAAGAAGCCTGAATAAAAGTGAAAAAAAAAAAAAAAACCAATAGCTCAAACTAGTATTTAATGAAAAACCTAGAAATTCTTACTTTGAGAGTGGAAAATAGTACTTGGAAATTAAGTAAAAACTATAAAAGTCTATGAGTTCATAATCACATGTGGCCACTCCAAAAACAAAACAAAGCAAACCAAAACTCTTACTGTTTGATTTTGAGTAAGGGTCAATTCATTACTTTTTTTTTTTCTTTGTTTTTATTTTTGTTTCTCTTCTGGTACCAGGAATCAAACTCATGATGTTGCGCTTGCCAGGCAGGCACTGTGCCACTGAGCTAAATCCCCAGCCAGAATCCCCAAACAGAAACAAAGCCTTTCTTTCTTTTTTTTTGGTACTAAGACTCGAACTCAGGACCTTGTGCTTGCCAGACAGGCGCTTGTGCCACTGAGCTATATCCCTGGCCCTCATTACTTTCAAAATTTATAAATAAGCATTTATTCTGGAATTCTTATACTAATTAAATTTTGGAATAATCTGATAGAGGAAAATTTCTTTATAGAACACTTCCAGCTAATGAATGTAAAAGGGCTG